GAGTGGGATTGTTATGGTTTGATTGTGCTTAATTGATCAATTGTGTTGTTTGTGATTTGTTGGCTGGATCGGGATTATGTGTTGGGCTGAATATGGCGTGGCTGTGTGCCGTGTGTATGTGGCCGTGAGGTGTGGCGGTGTGGTAGTGTGAATGCGCATTGAATTCGCGTGTTAAATGTGTATGGTCGTGTGGTGTATTCGTATGACGAGAACGTGTGTTTGTGAAGTGTACGTGATATGTGAATTGGTGTGTGGCTATGAATGCGTGTGAGGTGTGTATGTTTGGTCGTGCGACTGTTGACCGTGTGTAAGTATGGTTTGAGTGGAACGAGGATATGGAAATGTGAGATTGGTTGGAAAGGATCCGTCCTGAGGCATGTACGTTTACGCGGGACGATGCCGTCCCTGACGAGGTGACGATGCCCGGCCTGACGAGGTGTCGATGCCTGACGTGGTCAGAAGACCGTTGGTCTCGATGCGTTCTTACGCGGGCGCGGTAGAAGGAAAGTGTGTGTAGGATTCCGTCCTGCGGCGTGTACGTTTACGCGGGACGATGCCGTCCTTGACGAGGTGACGATGCCCGGCCCGACGGGGTGACGATGCCTGACGAGGTCAGAAGACCGTTGGCCTGATGCGTTTTACGCGGGCGCGGTAGTGGTGGAATGGTTGAGAATGAGCTGGATTTAGCTAGATGTGAGAGGATTGTGAAAAGTGACGCATGTCGTGAGTTCGTGTGTGAGTGTGGTTGGTATCGTGTACTATGGTGCTCGACTATGGAGTAAAATCTACTAGGCACGGTATGGGACGTGTCCAAGTAGGTTTTGCTTTATAATCGAGGCACGTGCGTGACTGTGATCCATCGCTGTGGTGTATTGGCTGTGTTATTGTCTAACGTGCAGGAACGTGCATGATAAATTCTAGGTAGGGTCGTGTGTGATTGTTAGTTTGGTTGATGGGTTGTGTGTTATGTGTGTTTTCGTCTGGCGGTACGTGAGTGCCTATGTGGGGTTTGGGGTTGTACACTTATTGAGATTCGTCTCACGGTTGTATAACCGCCACTTTCAGACCCCCAGCCTTAGACTCGGGAAGTTTGCCTCCTCTTTTTGGAAGTTCGAGGAACCGCCTTTGGTGCCCGGTGGAATTGCAGGTGAGTGTCCGGAGGCTCAAGCCCGAAGAATCAGGAGCAGAATGGAGAAGGGCGACCCTTAGGTTTTTCCCTAGGGCATTTTAGGGGTTGTATAGCTTGGGTTATCCGATAGTGAAGTTAAGATAACCAAACCCCTGATATTTTGTTATAATGGTGATTTTCTGATGCTATTTTGCTAAACATGTCTGTAATACAATGTTTGTATATTTGGTGCTGTATGAATATGTTGTTGTTTGATTGTTATGGTGGTCTAACCCGTCGTCGTCATTTTAGTCCGGGGGTTTTTATATTCGCTTCCGCATGTGGCTCTGATGTTTGGGTTGGGTCGGCGACGTTCCTAGGACGTCGCAACTATTCGACCGCAGCAGGGGATGTCGCGAGCTCGATGGGGGTTCGGGGCGTGACACTTAAGAAAAGAAAATATAACATCAAAAATATGAATTTCAAATAAGCAAAAATGTTATTAAATTCCTAATCTAAATAAAATAATCCTTAGAAATCCAAAAAATAAATTGAGAATCAGGAAAATATTTATCATTCCTAATATTCTAATAGAAAGAGATAATCTTGAGATCTCCAAAATATTACCCATGTCATTTTCCTTCGTTGGAGTATACTGTCCTTGAGGCCAATCTTCATCAAGCTCTTGGTTTTCATGATATGGTCATAGATCAGCAACATTGAATGTACCAGAAACACCATGCCCTCCAGGAAGTTCAATGTTCTAGCCAATATCCTTGGTTCACTCCAAAATTTGAGAAGGACCATCCCCTCAAGGAGATAACTTTCCATGACAACCCGGTGAAAATTGAAAACATAAGATTAGCTTCCTTGACGGCAATACTTGTCGATTTTCTCTGAAATTCTTTTCTTTTCTTTCTCATATAACTGTTTGATTTCCTTAGGCCCTTTCTTCAGCGTCTCCACTAAATTGACGCTTTGTGGGAGATGTTATAAGATCAAGAGGACTTAAATGTTGCTTTCCGAACACAACTTCAAATGGGCTTTTTCCGGGTAGTTTGACTCACCTAATTATAAAGGGCAAACTCAGCTTGAGCTGATAACAAATCCCACTATTTAACATGTTTTCCAATAAAGCTTCTTAATTAATTGCCCAAGGGTCTGCTAACAGCCTGTTTGTCCATCAGTACCAGGAAGACTAGCGGAACGAAATTGAAGTTGAGTCCCAATTTTTTGCCATAATGTAGAAAAGTAACTCATAAAGTTGATGTCATGATAAGAAGTTATTGTCTTTGGAATACCATGTAGGCGTCGAATTTTATAAATAAAAGCTCAACGATATGTGATGCATCAAGATTCTTACTATATGGTACAAATCCCTGTTGCGTTGAGTCTTTGGCAAACTCAGGACAAAGTCCATACTCATATCTTCCCAAGGCCCCAGTGGAATAGGTAACGGCAAGCATAAACCAATGTTTTGGCCTCCAGCTTTTGCAATTTGGCAAATTTTGTATCACTCGATATGCCGCCATATATCATTTTCCATTTTTGGCCGATGAAAGTTCTCTCTAGCAAGCGCCCAAGTCTTCTCGGGACCAAAATGACCCGCTAGTCCACCATCATGGGCTTAAAAAGTAATAGCTTGATGCAATGAACGTTGCAAAACACGCCACTGACGGTGAAACTGCGCAATGTGAAATTTGAGGAGTTGGACTTTCAAAATCTGGACTTCATACATATCTTTTTACTGCTTCAAATCCAACAACCTTGATTTGCATAGTAGAGAGGAGCGTATGTCGGTGGCTTAAAGCATCCTTGACTCGATTTTAAGCGCCAGATCGCTAGATTTATGTTTGGGGAGAAACAGAAAAGATTGTGGAAATTCACTCCAAGCGGCATGTCAGCGATTAAGCTTCTGTTGAGAGTTCAGGTGCTTATGTGCCTCATGGTCAGAGTCCAGAACACATTATTTTATTAGCAAATAGTGACTCCATCTGAAAAAGACAATGTGACGGACTTCTTGACTGAGCACAACACCGATGCCATCATTTGAAGCATCGCAGTGAACCTCAAAAACCAAATCAAAGTTTGGTAGCGTTGACGCTAGAGCCTCAACGATTTTGTTCTTTAGGAGCTCAAAACTCTTTTGCGCCTCGCTGAAGCCTCTCTCTTTGTAAGCATTCAGTAATTAATGCAGCAATGGAACTGAAATTCTTTATGAATTTCTTCTAGAAAGAAGCGACGCCATGAAGCTTCGAATCTCACGAAGAGTTTGCAGCTTTCGCTATGAAATGATAGCTTCAATTTACTAGGATCCATCTCTATTCCTAAGCTCATCACATATCCAAGGAAAATCACCTCGTCAGCCAAGAAGTGACATAGCAAATAATTTTTGCTCTCTCGAATCTCGTGATATGAATAGGAGATGTCATGTGTTCTTCCGGGAAAATTACCAAAAAAGTTTTAAACCTATTGCAATTGTGTCAATTCAATCATAAACCTTTATTTTACCAATTGAGTCCTAAAGCTTGCATTTGTGTCAATTCAATCTATTCGATCAATTTTGATCAGAAATCGTTGACATGGACACTGGCCGTCCAACGTGGCACAGCCGACACTACGTGGACAATTTTAATAATATATTAATAGTTTTTTAATTTTCTTTTATTTTTCCCTTTCTTTCTCTTTCTTTTTTTTATCCGTACCTTCTTCCTCCTTCCTCTAGTTGGCCATAGGACTTCGGCGACCGGCCAGAGGCAAAGGCCGGCAAGGTTGACCTTGCTGGCCACTGGTGAGGCCAACCTTACCTAGTAATGGCGAGGTCGAGCCTCACCACGGGCGGACGAGACTTGCCCTCACCAGTCCTTGCCTTTAGCCAGTCACCAAGGTCCGACGATAGGCTAGAGGAAGGAGGAAGAAGGGAAGAAAAAACAAGAAGGAGAAAGAAAATAAAAAATAAACAAAAAAATCGAAAAATATTTAAATATTATTAAAAATTATTCACATCAATGTCGGTTGTGCCACGTAGGATGGGCGATGTCCATGTCAATAATTTCGTCCAAAATTGGGCGAATGGATTGAATTGACACAAATGCAAAAGGTATATGATTCAATTAATGAAAAAAAGTTTAGGATTAAATTGATACAATTACAATAGGTTTACAATATTTTTGGTAATTTTCCAGTGTTCTTCCTTATCCTTATCGCGAATAAGAGTATTGTCGAAATGTACAATAACAAATCTCCCAATGAAAAGTCTGCGTATTTTATTCATTAGGCGCACAAAAGTACCTGGAGCATTCGAAAGGCCAAACGTCACGATCGTTGGCGCATATAAGGCACTTGTGTGCTGTCATCCATCATATTGCTGCTTATGCTTTTGGTTCCGTATATAGGGCAATCACTTTCCTTAAGAAGTTTTTATGATGCAAGCTTGTAGATATTGTGTAATTCAATTGGCATGTGCATGACAATCTATTGGTTCAAATGGTGCTTGGCTCCATTGGTGGACTGTAAATGCTTTGTTAAAATTGTAGGTCGTGGACTCCTTCCTTTGAAGCATGAAGATAGTAGACTATGGATAGAGTAATTGCTATTATCGTATCATCAATAGGTGTTGTCTTCTTTGTTCTCACAAATAAAAAAATGAATAGGTTTTTGGACTTTATTGTTCTTTTTTTCATAAATAGTTTCGTCATTTGGAAAAAAAAAACAAGTGAAATAAAAAGAGCCAAACAAATGTTCAAAAACTAATCCGGAGACAGAGCAGTGAAGATCATCGAGTGCCACCGCCACCGACCAGTCAACGGTCGATTGCTCACCAAAAACCAAACCCACTCTGTTCTATAAGTGTGAGGATTGTCCATTCAAAGTACGCGCGGAGTGACGGAGCTCCTTCGGACGTTTCCTCAAGATCTGCGACACAAACAATGGACATTTCCGACCAAAAAAAAGAAAGCACAATGGACATTAGTCAGGTTACCGATCATTCCTCATCATTGTCTGGACAGCCACCCTACGAAGTGTTCCTGAGTTTCAGAGGGGCAGACATGCGCAGGGGCTTCGCGGATTTCCTGTACACCATGTTGATTGATGTTGGGATTAGCGTCTTTAGGAACGAGGAAGAGCTGGAGAGAGGCAAAATAATCTACCCCCAGCTGATCCAGGCGATTAGGCAATCCAAGATATCAATACCCATCATCTCCAAGGAGTACGCGTCCAGCAAGAGCTGTCTCATGGAATTGGAGCAAATGGTGGAGTGCATGGACAATAAGAATGGCATCATCATCCCCATCTTTTACTATGTCTACCCGTCGGATGTATGCAACTGCAGCGGCCCTTTTGAGAGGGCCTTGGATGAGCTCCAGAAGCGCGCTCTCCGTCGGATTGGAGACTTGAAGGGACATTATCTCAGCGAAAAAAGTGATGAGTAATTTCCATGACCCGCTCTGGCCTGAGATTACTTTTCTCATATATCTTGCCTACTTTTGCGTTAAAATTAACTAGGTGTAAATCATATCCAATTACATATACGTTATTAGAAGAATGACAATGGCAGCATCATGCATAAATAGGTTTTCTTCCGCTTTCAATTCTCCTCTTCCATGTCATTTTTATTCCATTTACATTTTGGCAGGAATCATGGCGAAGTCATAAAGCAAATTGTCCGCCAAGTTCAGCAGAAGCTGGAGAAGAAGGACCTAATTGTGCCGGAACAATTAGTTGGAGTCGACTCTCATGTGCAAGGCATAATGGCAAAGCTGAAGGTTGACTACCGCAATGGGCAAGCGGTTCAAATTGGGGACACAAGTGTGAAGGTTTTAGGAATATATGGCATCCCCGGGGTGGGTAAGACGGTTCTGGCCAAATATGTTTATAATCAACTTCATCATCTGGTGGATGCCTGTAGCTTTCTTGGGGAGATCCAAGACAAAATTAATTGTCACGGCATCGTGTCTGTGCAAAACAGACTAATTTCTGACCTTGATGAAGGCAATGCCAAGAAGTTTGATCGTTCTGAGGAAGCTCTGTCTCATATTCGGAAAAAATTTCGCACCATGAAGGTTCTTGTTCTCCTTGATGATATATATAATAATGAACAGTTCAGTGCATTAGTCGGAGAACTTGATGGGCTTAGCCCGGGGAGCAGGGTCATTCTAACATCCCAAACACAAGACGTCCTTAGAAACATCGATGGTGCGGAAAGTTTTATCCTTGAACCAATGAAACAAGATGAAGCTCTGAAATTGTTTTGTAGGCATGCTTTTGGAACAGATTCACCCCATCAGGAGTTCGAGAAACTGTCAACAGATATCGTTGCTGCTACTGGCTGGCTTCCTTTAGCGCTCGAGGTGACAGGTTCATCTCTGTTTCTTGTAAAATCAAAGAAAGCATGGATGGAAACATTGACTGCATTGGAAGTAGCTCCTCATAAGTTAGTCCAAGCAGTGTTGGAGAAGAGCTACACCAATCTTGATATGTTTCAACGGCAGATATTTCTTGATATAGCATGCTTCTTCATTGGAATGGACAAGAGAATCCCCTATTACATGTGGGATGACTGTAAGTATTCTCCTTCTAGAGCGATTCGAGCTCTTCATGCAAGGTCTTTAGTACAAATTGGAGAGGATAAAGAACTACTCATGCATGATATACTGAAGAAGTTTGGCCGGGAAATTGTCAAGAATGAAAACCGGTATGAACCTTCTAAGCGCAGTAGGCTGTGCGATCACGAAGAAGCACTGCATGTACTAAAAAGAAGGAAGGTAACTTCTGCGAGCACTGTGCCACATCTTCTCTTCTTTAGTGGCCAATTGATACTGTTATTGATCCTTTTCGTTCAATTATTCATCAAGTGTGATGCTAAAAGACAGCTCCATCTTTTTAAATTAATTTTGTTTTGCTTCATTGACAGGGTACTGAGAAAGTCCAAGCCCTCGGGCTCGAGTTTGGTGACGGATTTAAAGGGAATATCAGTTTTGAATGTGATCAATTTGATGGTTTACAGAACTTGAGGTTCCTCAAGCTGGATCGGGCTGATATTCGTGGAAACTTTGGGGATCGTCTTTCAAGCTTAAGGTGGCTTGATTGGCAAGGGTGCCCTAAGGTTTTTGACGACCATTTAATTCTGACTTGGCAAAACCTGGTGATTCTTGATTTGTCGGGGAGTGAGGTTCACGGAGACTGGAGAGGTTGGGAGCTGCTTGTGCAGGTATGGAATGAATTCACTATCTTCATACATTTTATCTTTTGGACCACGTTTTTCTCAGGAATAAAACATTCACTATCATGTCCTATTTGTCTTGCAGGCAAGGAAACTGAAAGTTTTAAAACTAACTGGTTGTGTCCAATTGACTGTCACTCCAGAATTTCCTGCTTCAATGGAGCTGGAAAGACTTATTCTGGAAGGTTGCTCTAATTTAGCAGTTATCGATCCATCATTTGGTAATATGATGAAGTTGGTTTCTTTGAATATGAAGCAATGTAGTCTCCTTCGTGAATTGCCAGATTTGAGTCCCATGAGAGACTTGAAAGAGCTGGTGATTGATGGAACTTCCGTTTCTTGGATTGATTTCCGAGAAGGTTCCATGGGGAAGCTCAAAACCCTCAGTGCTCGCGATTGTAAAAGCCTGACTCAGATATCCCATTCGATCGGGTACTTAAAGTCTCTCAAATATCTCGCTCTAGATGGCTCTGGAATCCATACTCTCCCTGAGGCCATCGGATCGCTGGAGGAACTGAGAACACTGTCTCTGAAGAACTGCCAGAGGCTATCTGATCTTCCAAATGGAATAGGACAGCTCAGGTCACTCCAATTTCTGGATTTATCTGACACTGTGATTCAGGAGTTACCAGCGTCAGTGAAGGGTTTGAAAGCTATGAAAGTGCTTAAGATGAGGGGTACTTTCATACAGGAGTTTCCTGAACCTATACTGAATTTGGAGAAGCTTGAAGAGATAGATTTCTCATTATGCCAGAGATTAGGGGGGGAAATCCACTTCGACATTTGGAGATTGTCGTCTTTGGCAATCCTAAAGCTGTCCGCCACTCAGATTTCTGGCCTACCTCCAAGTATGTCCAAACTTTCTCGTCTCCGGGAACTCCACATCTTCAGGTGCTCCAATCTTCAGAGCCTACCCGAGCTGCCCTCTAGTTTGATCAATGTCTTGGGGTGCGTGCTTAAGAGATTTTATCTACTTTTTCTGAATTGCTTTCTAATCATCTTTTATTAGTGAATCATAAGAATTTTAAGACTATTGATGTTCGTATTATTCTCTTTTCTAATGAGCTTATACTTTGAATTAATAGAAAATCAATAATTTGTTTCTATTGCGCTTCCTGTCTATTTATGAGTTGTGACAAATTTTCGAATTCTATGACACGCTCTGGTCTGAGATTACTTTTCTCATGTATCTTGCCTACTTTTGCGTTGAGATTAACTAGATTTAAATCATATCCATTTACATATTCGTTATTCTAACTATGACAACGGCTGCATTTCGCACAAATAGTTTTTCTTCTGCTTTAAATCCTTCTCTTACCTGTCCTTTTTTTTTTTCCAATTACATTTGGCAGGTCTGATGGCAAGCTCATAAAGCAAATTGGAAGCGCAGTTCCGCAGAAGCTGAAGGACGAGGAACCAATCGTGTTGAAACGATTAGTGGGAGTCGATCCTCATGTGCAAGGCATAATGGCAAAGCTGGAGGTTGACTACCGCAATGGGCAAGCGGTTGAAATTGGGGACACAAATAAAAAGGTGTTAGGAATATATGGGATCCCCGGGGTGGGTAAGACGGTCCTGGCCAAATATGTTTATAATCAACTTTATCATCTGTTCGATGCCTGTAGCTTTCTTGGGGAGATCCAAAAAGAAATTGAACATCACGGCGTCCTGTCTGTGCAAGACAGACTGATTTCTGACCTCCATAAAGGAAATGGCCCAAAGTTTGATTGTTCTGACAAAGCTCTGATATATATTCAGAACAGGTTTTGCACCGTGAAGGTCCTCCTTCTCCTTGATGATGTTAATGGTGAGGAACAGCTAAGCACTTTAGTCGGAAAGCTTGATTGGCTTGGCCCAGGGAGCAAGGTCATTCTGACATCCCAAAGACAAGACGTCCTTGGAAACGTCAATGGTGCGGAAAGTTATGTCCTTGGACCGATGAAGCAAGACGATGCTCTGAAATTATTCTGTTGGCATGCTTTTGGAACGGATTCTCCCCATGAGGAATTCGAGAATCTGTCAAAAGATATCGTTGCTGCAACTGGCGGGCTTCCTTTAGCGCTCACTGTGGCAGGTTCATCTCTGTTTCTTGTGAAATCGAAGAAAGCGTGGAGGGAAACATTGACTGCATTGGAAGTAGCTCCTCATAAGAGAGTTCAAGCAGCCTTGGAGAAGACCTATTCCAACCTAGATGAGAATGAACGGCAGATATTTCTTGATATAGCATGCTTCTTCATTGGAATGGACAAGAGAATCCCCTATTACATGTGGGATGACTGTAAGTATTCTCCTTCTAGATCAATTCGAGCTCTTCATGCCAGGTCTTTGATAGAAATCGGAGAGGACAAAGAATTACTCATGCATGAAATACTGAAGAAGTTTGGCCAGGAAATTGTCAAGAATGAAAACCGGTATGAACCTTTCAAGCGCAGTAGGCTGTGCGACCACGAAGAAGCACTGGATGTACTAAAAGGAAGGAAGGTAACTTCGCGAGCACTGTGTCACATCTTTTCTTCTTTATATGCCAATTGATACTGTTATTGATCCTTTCCGTTCAATTATTCATCAAGTGTGATGCTAAAAGACAGCTCCATCTTTTTAAATTAATTTTGTTTTGCTTCATTGACAGGGTACTGAGAAAGTCCAAGCCCTCGGGCTCGAGTTTGCTGACAGATCCGAAGGGAATATCAGTTTTGAATGTGATCAATTTGATGGTTTACAGAACTTGAGGTTCCTCAAGCTGGATCGGGCTGATATCCAGGGAAACTTAAAGGATCGTCTTTCGAATTTAAGGTGGCTTGATTGGCAAGGGTGCCCAAAGATTTTTGACGATCAATCGCTAAATCTGCTTGATTGGCAAGTGTGCCCAAAGATTTTTGACGATCAATCGCTAAATCTGAATGTGCAAAACTTGGTGATTCTTGATTTGTCTCGGAGTCAGGTTGACACAGACTGGGGAGGTTGGAAAGTGCTCGTGGAGGTATGGAATGAATTCACTGTCTTCATGCAATTTTTCGTTTGACAACGTATTTCACCGGAACTAAACAAGTACTGTTTCATATCCTATTTGTCTTGCAGGCAAGGAAACTGAAAGTTTTGAAACTAACAGGTTGTGTCCGATTGGTTGCCACTCCAAAATTTCCTGCTTCAATGGAGCTGGAAAGACTTATTCTGGAAGGTTGCTCTAATTTAGCAGTTATCCATCCATCATTTCGTAATCTGACGAAGTTGGTTTCTTTGAATATGAAGCAGTGCTGTTTTCTTCGTGAATTGCAAGATTTGGGTCCCATGAGAGACTTGAAAGAGCTGGTGATCGATGGAACTTTCGTTTCTCGGATTGATTTCCGAGAAGATTCCATGGGGAAGCTCAAAACCCTCTGTGCTCGCGATTGTAAAAGCCTGACTCAGATATCCCGTTCGATCGGGTACTTAAAGTCTCTCAAAAATCTCGCTCTAGATGGCTCTGGAATCTGTACCCTCCCGGAGTCCATCGAATCGCTGGAGCAACTTAAAAAACTGTCTCTGAACAATTGCCGGAGTCTATATAATCTTCCAGACGGAATAGGGAAGCTCAGGTCACTGCAATTCCTGGATTTATCGGACACTCTAATTGGCGAGTTACCTCCATCGGTCAAGGATTTGAAAGATATGAAAGTGCTTAGGATGAGGTTTACTTTCATGGAGGAGTTTCCTGAAGCGATACTGAATTTGGGGAAGCTGGAAGAGATAGATTTCTCATTTTGCCGGAGTTTAGAGGGGAGGATCCCCGACGACATTTGGAGATTGTCGTCTTTGGCAATCCTGAAACTGTCCCACACACGGATTTCTGGCCTACCTCCAAGTATTTCCCGCCTTTCTCATCTCCGGGAACTCGACATTTCCAAATGCGACAATCTTGAGAGCCTACCCAAGTTGCCCTCTATCTTGATTAATGTTCTTGGAGATTCGAGTAATTAGGTTCTGGACAATAGGGATTTTTATTTACTTTTTCGAATAGCTTTCTAATTACTATTTATTAGTGAATCATCAGGATTTATATTCGTGTGGTTCTCTTTTGTAACGAGCTTAACCTTTGAATTAATAAAAAATTGTGAGTTTTTCTCAGTTGAAACATGCATGGATTTGCATGATCTTCAAAATTCTCGAAAAACAAGCCTTGTATAATCACCGCTGCTCTTTTCTAGCTGTACATACCTTTGATTTTGACGATCAAGCAAATATTCTTCGTAATCCCTAGAGCAAAATCGACATTTTAAAAACCTTAAGACCAAGTCATGATGCGTAAATTGGCCTTTTCTTAAACATTGCTCCTTCCGTGTAATAAAAAATAGAGATAAGTATATCAAACACTCTCAAATTTGTCACGAAAATACATATGAGTCCTAAACTTATAAAAACCGCAATCAAGGTTTAAATTTTATGAAATTTGGTGTGATCAAATCCCTCCGTTAATTCTACCTAATTTTACTTTATGGAAAATGATGACATGACTTTTTATTTTTTTAAGACCCATGGCATCGATGGAGCGCCCGCCAAATGCCACATCAGAAAAAAAAAAACTAAAACTTTAAAAGAAAAAAGATAAATAATAAATGATAAATAAATTTTAAAAAAGAAAAAGTTGATATAAGAAAATGGATAAGAATAAAAAAAATTTAAAAAAAATCCCTCAGCCACCATATTCTCTTATTTTTTTGGTCGGTAGCCACCATAGTCGAATGGCCAAGCCCCTCAAAGCTTAAGCACGATTTGCGACACTCAATTAGTCAGAAAAAAATGGGACAATGCTATAAAAAATCCCAAACTGGTATATTTGTAATAAATTTACCTAAAACTAATTTTTTGACCATCGAAAATCCAAAACCGATACACCTATGACAAATTTACTTATAACTAATTTTTTGACCACCAAAAACCCCAAAATGGTATATTTCTAACAGATTTACCATCCGTCAGTTTTCGTAAATTGGATTAATACCACGAAAATCACAAACTAGTACACTTGTGACAAACGGAGGGTAAAACCCTAAACTGGTACACCCGTCAATTACCATGTGTCATCAAACTCAGCAATTTGACGATAAAATTTAGCGAAAAATAACGGAGAGTAATTTTGTCACAGTTATATCAGTTTGATGTTTTTTTGCGGCGAAATAATTAATTTGAGATAAATTTATTATAGATATCCGGTTTAGATTTTCCCTCATATTAATAATAAAAAAAAGGAAGCTTGAACGGATTGGCCCAGCGCATTAGTCGGAAAGCTTGAGTGGATTCGCCCGGGGAGCAGGGTCATCCTTAGAAACATCAATGGTGCGGAAAATTTTTTGCTTGAACCGATGAAAACAACAAAAAAAAGACTATTCCAAGCCATGGACTCGCGAGGCAGCTCTTTGGCGACACTCGAGCCTTGCTGGTTTGTGGCAAGGCTTAAGCTCGTCTGCGGCCAGTCGCCGGCCTTCGTCGTGGCCGGCGACTTGGCAGAGAAGAAAGTCAAAAAAAGAAAAGAAAAGAAAAGTAAAAAAGATAATTAAAAATTAGAATTTTAATAAAAGAAGAAAAGAAAATTAAAATAAAATAATTAAAATGAATGGTAGAAGAAGAAAGAGGGAAAAATATTTTTTTCTCTTCGAAAGAGGAAAACATTTTCCTCACTGGTGTTTTTTTTTCATTGAGGAAAAATATTTTCCTTGAATAGTTTATTTTCCGTGAACTGAACCTCGAAAAATTCAAAAAACATTTTCCAAAAAATTGTTTTATGCGAAACGAATGGAGCCTGTCACGCCCCGTACCCCACTGGAACGCAACATCCCGTCATGGTCGATTATGGTGCAACGTTCCCAGGAAACGTCGCCAACCCAACACCCAATCAGAGATCAATCGCATACGGAAGCACGTATATATATATATACACCCGTACAAATAAACACATGAGACCAAGGTAGAACAACCAGCAATCAAACAACTCTGAAAATATATATACACTGGCATTGCCATAGAAAACTTTTTACAACCTTCAACTATACAACGATAGTGAAAAGCACACACCAGCAGCTACTCGATCAAAAGTGGGGGTCCGGTCACGCCGTCAGCCCCCCCTATAATACCAAGCCACGTACTCCTGGGTGTGGTAGTAATCCTCCCCCACGTTCACAACAAAACCAAGTAATATCTCACATAGGCTGCTCCGTCTCCACAGGGATGTACGCTAGACGACCGCTGGATATGATGCGGTATCCCAAAAAGAGGTGGTGTCCTCGGCATCCTACGGCTGGGGGTCTGAAATGTTTCGGTTTACACAACCATAAGATAAATCTCAGTGAGTTCAACCCCTAAACCTAGGCTAGGCTAGCATGCAATCTCCTGACCGGAAACAAATATTTATAATCACAACACGACAATAATCAAACCATTCTCAGACCCTGCAAGTTAGACGGATCAACATATAATAATCACGGCACATACGTGGCACACATGATCACCCGTATGCCAATCACATGCTCATGCACTGATTCTCACACCTTCGTATGCCAGTCTATGCATGTTCATGCATGCAAATGTCGTCGACATGTCATGCGCATTTCTCCGGCCCACTGGCCCACACTGGCACACTTGCCTAATTCATTATTATTACGACTCGAGTCATTAATTTTTCACGGCCCGGTGCGACTAGCCTGCTTCAAAGTGCATGAGGCGCAGCAACCGATCTGGCCTAGTGTCTCTAGCCTGCTTCAAAGTGCATGAGGCGCAACACTGTTCTCCTTGCGAACCAGAGCCTGCTTCAAAGTGCATGAGGATGGTCGCCTTCCGGATGTACCGGGCATCGTCCTGCTTCAAAGTGCATGAGGACGGTATCGACCCGAAGGTCACGACCCGAAGGCCCTTAGGTGATCACACAACTCATTATTATTCGAACCCGGCCAGAAACGCCGGGGTATTTTAGGTGATCACATGCTCATGGCGAGACACGCATTCTCGCACAACTTCATCACATGCCTCACTCTTGGCATACACAATGCGTGTCCATGTTATGCAATGTAATGCACCACGAGCACCAACATAATTCAAACACTCAATATCACAACACGTGCTCAATTGGCCCAATTAATACCGTGTGGCCTAACATGCGATTCACAAATCAATAAGTAATTGCAAGCCAAACAGTGGCCAATCGCACACCACAATAATCAGCCACACAACAAGCGACATGGCAGTACACAATTAATCACACTTAAGTACAAATTACGTACCACCAGTCAACCCGGACATACCCGGTAATTTTCCAATGGGCTCCTAAATTGGTCATTTAACCTAATTACTCTCCCCAATGAATCCTCAATGATTCACCACAATTTTCCCGATAATAATTCCTATCGATCGGTACACAATATTTTTCACTGCCAGTACTAACATCCCTAAACTAGTCCAGAAAAATGCACTGTCAGTCCTAATCCGGGTTTAGGAATTTTACTCACTCAATCAAGGGTCACGACGACGGGGAATGGCGGCCGATCACTGGTGAACAGTGCAACCGGCGGCGAATTCCCGGCGACGGTGTACGGGCGGGTGAACAGCGCCCCGTACGGACGGCGTGAACAGTACCACACGCACGGACACTTGTACGGACGGCTGGGAACGGTGGCCGGCGAGGTGCCGGTGACGGCCGAGACGCGCCGTACGGTCTGGATGAACAGTGACCGTACGGGGCGCGTGAACAGTAACCGTACGGTCACTGTACGGACGGGCTGAACGGCGACGTATGGACATGCTGAACGGCCGGGTGTCAACGGAACGGCGATCGGAGCTCCGGCGAAGCTCCGGCGGTACTGTTCACGGAATGGAAAATGAGAAAAAGAGAGAAAAAGAGGGGGGAAGGGAGAGAGAAATGGACAGAACCGAGGCTGAGCTGAGGCTGGGGACCAAGAGGGTCGACGGCGAGGCACGGCGGTCGGCGGTGTGCTCCGGCGAAGCTCCGGCGAAAGAGAAAATGAGGGAAAATTTGAGAGAAAATGAGAGAAAGTGTGGGAAAAATGGAGAGAAAATCTGCTAAAGGCTGGTCTGGTCGTGGAGGGTGAGTGAGGAGAGAGAAATTTCAGTCCAACTTAGTCAAATTATAGGGCTAGGGTGCCATGTGTCAAAATTTGACAAAAAGGACTAAAATGCCCTTAATCAAATGGTTCCTATGCATTCTTATCCAAAAAGGGAGGGGCAAAAGGGTCAATGGTTTTCAAAAAAATGCAGCTGGTAATTATCCATAATTATCCCAAATTATCCTAAAAAAATTCGGAACAAAAATAGCCCAGGGGCAAAATCGTAATTTCTTACCCCCGGACCGAAATTCCAATTTTCACTTGTACTAACCCCAAACGTGTGTGGCCAGCGTAATATGATGTCAGATTCCCCAAAATAATCTCTTAAGCCTTCGAAAATCGACCTCGAAATCCGGGTCCAATTCCGTGAACAAAGCTCGCTAAACTTTCAATTTCGGGTCTCTCACTAACAGGCAATTTGTTTAGGGTTTACGCGTATCGACCTAGAGTTATCCGGAGTCATGACGGTCCCGATCACTCAAAGAATGAGAGGAATTATCATTAGTTCCAAAGGTCACGATCGTTCGGTTCAAGCTCGGGGCCGGTTGGCCACGTGTACTCTCGGACCTGCGGACTCACCCGCGATCCGTTTGTACATCGTTGGCCTTGGCCAGACCAAACCCGTCACTTTTCCTAAGATCGGCCCACGTTGGCCCAAAATATTCCCTCATCGTTTCTCAAGATCGGTACTTGGCTCGTGATCGGGCCCTTGGTCCACGTACCATTTTCCTAGTTAGCCGTACCCTTTTGGTTAGTATCCCGAAAGTGATCAGCTCTGGGCGAGACTTACTAAAATGAAATGCGAAATATTGTCAATTTTATTGATCCCGGAATTTCGTCGAAATTCGGGCTGTTACAGAGCCTAAAATTCGGGTTCTAAGTTAACTACCTCAAATCCTTATTTAAGACAATATTTATTTTAAGTCATTTTTTCTCTTCGAGTTTTTATTTGAAATTTTGCCTAGACAAAGAATAGGCTTTTGGACTTTATTGTTCTTCTTTCAGAAATAGTTTCATCATTTGAAAAAAAAAAAAAAAACTAAAAGCAGAACCAACCAAAAGTGAATCAAGTGCCACTGCCACCGACCGGTCAACAGTCGATTTGCTCACCAACAACCAAATCAACTCTGGTCCATTAGTGGGACGATTGTCCGTCCAAAGTGCGCGCGGGTACGTAGTGACGGAGCTCCTTCATACGTTTTATCAAGATCTGCTGTGCTGCACGTTGCCGATCATTCCTCATCGATGTCTGGGCAGCCAAATTATGAAGTGTTCCTGAGTTTTAGAGGGCCGGACACTCGCAGGGACTTCGCGGGTTTCCTCTACTCCATGTTGACTGATGTTGGGATTTGCGTCTTTAGGGATGACAAAGAGCTGGAGAGTGGCAAAGAAATCCACCCCCAGTTGATGGGGGCGATCCTGCAGTCCAAGATATCAATACCCGTCATCTCCAAGGAGTTTGCGTCCAGCAAGAGCTGCCTAATGGAATTGGAGCGAATGGTGGAGTGCAAGAAGAACAAGAATCACATCATCATCCCCGTCTTCTACTATGTCAAACCGTCGGATGTAAGCAACTGCAGGGGCCCTTTCGAGGGGGCCTTTGCTGAGCACAGGAAGCGCGGCAGAGATGCCGAGTTCATTAGCCACTACATGTCTATTCTCGGTTGCATCGGAAACTTGAAGGGACACCATCTCCACGAAGAAATTGGAGTGTAATTTCCATGACACGCTCTGGCCTGAGATTACTTTTCTCATGTATCTTGCTTACTTTTGCGTTAAGATCAACTATGTTTAAATCATATCCAAGTACATAATCGTTATCATAACAACGACAATGGCAGCATCATGCATAAATAGGTTTTCTTCCGCTTTCAATCCTCCTCTTCCATGTCCTTTTTATTCCATGAACATTTTGGCAGGAATCATGTCGAAGTCACAAAGCAAATTGTCCGCCAAGTTCAGCAGAAGCTGGAGAAGAAAGACCTAATTGTGCCGGAACAATTAGTTGGAATCGATCCTCATGTGCAAGAAATAATGTCAAAGCTGAAGTTTGACTACCGCAATGGGCAATGGGTTAAAATTGGGGACACAAGTGTGAAGGTTTTAGGAATATATGGCATCCCCGGGGTGGGTAAGACGGTCCTGGCTAAATGTGTTTATAATCGACTTCATCATCTGTATGATGCCTGTAGCTTTCTTGACGAGATCCAAGGAGAAAATAAAAATCACGGCACGGTGTCTTTGCAAAACAGACTAATTTCCGATCTCCATAACACAAATGCCCCAAACTACAATCGTCATGACAATGCTCTGGCATATATTCAAAGAAGGTTTCGCAACAAGGAGGTCCTCGTTCTCCTTGACGATGTGAAGGATCATAAACAGCTCAGTGCGTTAGTTGGAAAGCTTGATTGGTTTGGCCCGGGGAGCACGGTCATTGTGACATCCCAAAGACATGACGTCCTTAAAAAAGTCAATGGTGCAGAAAGTTATGTCCTTAGAACGATGAAACAAGATAAAGCTCTGACATTATTCTGTAAGCATGCTTTTGAAACGGATTCTCCCCTTGAGGAATTCAAGGAACTGGCAAAAAATATCGTTGCTGCTACTGACGGGCTTCCTTTAGCGCTCGAGAATGTAGGTCAATCTCTGTTTCAAGAGAAAAAAAGGAAAGTGTGGACGGAAACACTGATTGCATTGAATGAAGCTCCTGATAAGAGTGTCCGAGCAGCCTTCTCCAAGAGCTATAACACCTTAGAAGAGAATGAACAGAAGATATTTCTTGATATAGCATGCTTCATCAATGGAAAGGACAAGAGAATCCCGTATTACATGTGGAATAACTGTAAGTTTTCTCCTTCTAGAGCGATTATTTCTCTTAAAGCCATGTCTTTGGTAGAAATCGGAGAGGATAAAGAAATATGCATGCGTGGAATATTGACGACCTTTGGCCGGGAAATTGTCAAGAATGAAAGCAAGAATGTACCTTGCAAGCGCAGTAGGCTATGCAACCACAAAGAAGCACTAGATGTACTAATAGGAAGGAAGGTAACTTCTGCGAGCACTGCGCCACATCTTTTCTTCATTAGATGCCAATTGATAAAGTTATTGATCCATTTCGTTCAATTATTCATCAAGTGTGATACTAAAAGACAGCTCCATTTTTTTAAGTTAATTTTGTTTTGCCTGATTGACAGGGTACTGAGAAAGTTGAAGCCCTCAGGTTGGAGTTTGGTGACGGAACTGAAGGGAATATCTGTTTTAGATGTGATCACTTCAAAGGTTTACAGAACTTGAGGTTCCTCAAGCTGGATCAGGCTGATATTGGGGGAAACTTTGGGGATCATTTTTCGAGCTTAAGGTGGCTTGATTGGCAATGGTGCCCTAAGATTTTTGACGATCAATCGCTAAATCTGAATGTGCAAAACTTGGTGATTCTTGATTTGTCGGGGAGTCAGGTTGACAAAGACTGGAGAGGTTGGAAGGTGCTTGTGGAGGTATGGAATGAATTTACTATCTTCATATAATTTCTCTTTTGACGACGTATTTCCCAGGAACTCAACATGTACTCTCGTATCCTGTTTATCTTGCAGGCAAGGAAACTGAAAGTTTTGAAACTAACTGACTGTGTCCAATTGACTGCCACTCCAGAATTTCCTCCTTCAATGGAGCTGGAAAGACTTATTCTGGAAGGTTGCTCGAACTTAGCAGTTATCGATCCATCATTTTGTAATCTGAAGAAGTTGGCTTCTTTGAACATGAAGGGATGCAGTCTCCTCCGTGAATTGCCAGATTTGGGTCCCATGACAGCATTGGAAGAGCTGGTGATCGATGGAACTTCCATTTCTCGGATTAATAATGTCCAAGAAGGTTCCATGAGGAAGCTCAAAACTCTCAGTACTCGTAATTGTAAAAAACTGACTGAGATATCCGATTCGATCAGGTACTTAAAGTCTCTCAAGTATCTCAACCTAGATGGCAGTGGAATCCATACCGTCCACTCCATCGGATTGCTGCAGAAACTGAAAAAATTGTCTCTGAAGAACTGCCAGACTCTATTTTGTCTTCCAGATGGAATAGAGAAGCTCACGTCACTGCAATTCCTGGATTTATCTAACAATAGAATTGATACCCTCCCGGAGTCAATAGGGAACCTCAGGTCACTGCAATTCCTGGATTTATCTAACAATAGAATTGATACCCTCCCGGAGTCAATAGGGAACCTCAGGTCACTACAATTCCTGGATTTATCTGGCAGTGAAATTTATAACCTCCCGGAGTCTATCGGATTGCTGGAGAAACTGAACACGCTATCTCTGAAGAGCTGCAGTAGGCTATCTAATCTTCCGGATGAAATAGGGAACCTAAGGTCACTGCAACTCCTGAATTTGTCTTACAGTGAAATCAGTACCCTCCCAGAGTCCATCGGATCGCTGGAGAAACTGAACACGCTGGATCTGAATAACTGCGAGAGGCTATCCAATCTTCCAGATGAAATAGGGAAGCTCAGCTCACTGCAATTCCTGGATTTATCGGACACTCCAATTAGGGAGTTACCTCCATCAGTCAAGGATTTGAAAGCTATGAAAGTGCTCAAGATGAGGCATACTTGCATACAGGAGTTTCCTGAAGCGATACTGAATTTGGAGAAGCTGGAAAAGATAGATTTCTCGTTGTGCCGGAGTTTAGAGGGGAGAATCCCCGACGACATTTGGAGATTGACGTCTTTGGCAATCCTGAACTTGTCCGAGACTCGGATTTCTGGCTTGCCCGCAAGTATTTCCCGCCTTTCTCATCTCCAAAAACTCGACATCTCCGGATGCGACAATCTTCAGAACCCACCTGAGTCGACCTCTAGTTCGATTAAAGTCATTCCAGATTTGGGTAAATAGGTTCTGCACAATAGAGACTTTATTTTCTCTTTTGAATAGATTTCGAATTATCATTTATTAGTGAATCATCGGGATTTATATTCATGTGATGCTCTTTTGTAGCGAGCCTAACCTTGGAATTAATAGAAAATTGTGAGTTTTTCTCCTGTTGTGCTTCACGAGTTGCAACTCGTGTTTGCGTGTGTCAATTTTCAAAATATCGGATTATCTGATCACAAAGCAAATCTCTTGCAATCCTCTCAAAATTTGGAATCGCATCTACCTAATCAATCAAAAGTTCTAGCTTTGAGAAAAGATTTCAACCAAAATCATCAAAAGTTATTGACTTCTTTTAAAGGCTTTCCTATCATATTTTATTAGTGAATCATTAGGAAATTTAGACTATTTGTATTCGGAGCTTATCCTATTGAATTAGTAGAAAATTGAGAGTTATTCTCCATTACGCTTTATGCGTATTTACGAGTTCTGACTCGTGTTTATTCATTTTATGATTTGGATCAATTCTAATCTCTACGCTATCGCAAAAACCATCACTAACTTGAAATGAATGTTCAAGTTCAAAATCATCTACCTTTTCAAATGACAATTGGAAGATCTCATTATCTTTTTGTTGAGGCTCGTAAATCACATTCTGAGCTCGTAAATCACACCCATCATCACTAACTCGAAACATGCATGGATTTGCTCGATCTTCGAAATTCTTGAAAAACAAACACTCTCGGTAATCCCTAGGGAAAAATCGACATTTTAACAACCTTAAGACCAAGTCACGATGCGTAAATTTGCCTTTTTCTCAAATGTTGCTCCTTCCGTGTAGTAAAAAATAGGGATAAGTGAGCCAGACACCGTAAAATCTGTCGCGAAAATATGTTTTGAGTACTAAAATTTATGAAAAATACATTCAAATTTTAAAATTTATCAAATTCGTGTAATCAAATCCCTTTGTTCTCTCTATTCAATTTTACTTATGAAAAATGATGACATGACTTTTTTATTCTTTTAAGACACATGGCGTCGGGGGCACCCGTTGTGACATTCTGAAATTCGACTCTATTCGGGATGTAATGAAATGATAATATTAATTGATGTACTGTTAGTAAATCTCGCTCCGAATTAATCACTCGTGAGAGACTAACCGATAGGGAAAGGCTATTGAGGAATTAAGTACGCACGACCTGAGAACTCGACCAGGGATTGACAATTCGACCATAAAAATTGACGAGGGACAATTTTGAGCCATTATAGACCGATCAAGGGATGGTTATAAAACGATTCACCAATAGCATACAATCGGATCGCGGTTGATTCCGCTTCACCGTTGTATGTATTACGAATGATCCTAAACCCATTGACTGATGATCGCGTACTTTGGAACTTGTGATTGACCCATCGCAATTACATGACAATCGAGATCATTCATGGTTCGAGAAAACTTAAACGTGGTTTGATACTGAATCAACCACGGGTCGAATTCGCGTAACTCCTAAAAGCCGCCCGTTAGTTTAAGATATACTAAAGTCGCAATTGATTGATTTTTACCACGAATTAGAATCCAAATTTGATGTTGAATCTCCGAGGATTTCAAAACTAAATTATTGGACACCATCTCATTGATTTGCTCGTTTATCGGTTTGCTCGAAATTCTCGGAAAAGGATTTAACGGGCCGAGAATTTGAGCCCACGAGGAAGTGGGCCGGATGAAGGCACATTGGGCCTCAAGCCCAATGTGATTCGGCCATTTGGGCCCAAGGCAAGCCCAAGTGGGCCAATAAGGCCCATTAAGCCATTAAGCCTAATTTCAAGCCCAAGTTGAACCCATTAGCATTTTCAAGCCCATTCCTAATCCGTTTGAGTCCAAATTTGATTTATATGAGTCCGTACAAAATTCTAGCTCGTATACACGTATAAATTTTTTTATACCTTGTGAAATTACCAAAATACCCTTCTAGCTTTTAAGACAAAGAAACAAAAGCATTTAAGAGAGAGGACTTTTGTGCATTTTTTGGATCATGAAAGAAGACTTTGAGACATGCTTTAATGAGAGAAAATATCTCTCATTTCTCTCTCTCTTTCCCCGCCCCCCAACCGGCCACTCTCACTCTCTCTTTCCTCCCCCCCTCATTCACGTCCAACTCTCCCTCCTCTTTCTTTGGTTCGGCTGAAGCAGCAAGAACAGCCCCTTGGCTGCTATTTTTGCTGCCGTGGAGCCAACCGTCGAGCGCTGTGACAAGCCGTGACCGCCCCGGAGCCGAACGCCGCTCATCCAAGCCATTTCCACCGTTAACCGAGCCTCGCCGAACCAAAACAGCCGCCCCAAATCTGCTGTCCAGCCGAGACCCAGCCACCGTCATCGTTCCGTGTTGTTTTCGGACCGTGCAACGCGTAGCCCTCGCCGCCGCCGTCGCGCTCGTGTCGTCGGATTCGCTAACGGGTGAGTTTTCGCACTAATCCTTTGATTAGTATGTTAAACTTGCTTAGGATGGATTAGTTTAAGTTAATTGCGCTTAGTACTAATTGATTAGGGATTAGTGATGATCTATTGGATTAATTATATTATTATTTTATTAATTTTTCGGGAATTAAATAATAATATTTTATTAATTTTCGGAATTAAAAATATTATTATTTTATTAATATTTTTGTGGAAATTCCGAAATTAAATAGTGTTTATTTTAGGCTTAAATTGTGATGCCTAAGCTAGAATCTGCCTTATATATCGGTTTGTTTGCCAAATTAAATTGTTTGGTTATGGTGAAATATAGAATTACGGGTATTTAATTAATAAACCCTGAGGTGTCGGGTTTATTTGTTAAGTTTTATATGAGGAATATGTTGTGGATACTTGAATATAAAAGCATGCTAAGTTTGGGAATTTATTGATATGTGCATAACCACGTGCGAATATTTTAGTACATTTTTATGTGTGGAAGTTGCGATATTTCAACGTATTAGCATGGATTATGTTTACATTGGCTATTGATAAATATAATGATGGAACTTGAGTGTTACTATGTGTGCATGATCACCTAAAGATTCCTTTCGTGCCCGGTTATACCGGAAAACCGTATACCGGATGATCGCCAACCTAGAGTTTGGTCGTGGCCCTAACGGGTGTTCCCAATTTGGTAATTGGAAGCCGTCGCTGGTAGCAGGGGAGACGTAGTCATTCGCGAATCGGATTCCGAATGAACCCATTTATGGGATATGCCGTCATTGTGGTTGAGTGAGACGATGCCGTGCTCGACGGGGCGGGACGATGCCCGGTTATGCCAGAAGACTGCCAACCTGATGCGAATCACGCGGGTTGTGCTGTAGCCCCTAGTGTGGCTGTAGTAATTGGAATATGCGTGAAAGATTGTGGTGGCATTGCGCTTGATTATGGGATGAAATTGTTAGGCATGGTATGGGACGGACCGAAGCGGTTTCACCTTATAATCAGGACACGTGTGAATGCATTGTGCTTGAGAAAGTTGATGCGTATTCTGATTGTATTATATGCTTATTGTATTATTATGGCATACGGTGAATCATAACATACAGGGCGTGTATAACATCCTGAATTTTGACCCGTTACCGGGACCAATAAAGTGTGCATTAATTCTCGT